CCCCCCCCCCCCCCCAAAAAAAAAAACTGTCTTGAACATAAATATTTTCGAGGTTATAGTTCTGAGTTCCCTCAGTCTGATGAAACCTGATGCTTCTACTTTCTTCACACCAGGACAAAACATCAGTGTTTTCAATGCTGGAGCTCATCCCAGCCCCTCAGAGTTCAGCTCAGCACCATGCACTTCAATCTGTTGCCCCCATGTGGCGATCATCAGACAAGCACTTTCTATTTACTGTCCACCTCTTTCCATGAATCACACACACACAAATGCTCCAAGTTGATGTTCTGAACAGACGTCTGTCTTCCAAGCTCTATAAAACAAATATTACTTTAGGCTTGTTGCCAGTATTTCAGTGTTCATGTGTCTTTGGTAGCTTCGGCTTATGTGTACTAAGCTTGAGAAGAATTGGCTGGATTGTGAGTGTCAGTTTTATGAAATCACATTTGCACACACTTGTTACTGTTTGCACTTGTGCATGTGTCTTTTTTGTCTCGTGGTAACTCAAGTAACTTGAGCTCTTTGACAATGTCAGAACAGACATTTATTAGGATGATTTTTCCCCCGATGTGCAAATCCTGTAACTTTAACCCTGTCTGCAATGTGAACTGCATCCTCCTAATAATGGTGCATGTGTTAAATCCTGCTGAGTCAGACATATTTTTATACAGACTTCACCTGTTTTAGATTATTCTGTACTCTATAATTTAACATTTTCAAGAAATTTCGGTTGTTACTGTGTTGTTCTGAAGTTTTTAGCAAAGAGAAGAAGTCGTCCTCAGCGTTAAGAAGGTCCTCTCATCCGTTTTAATCATTCCTGGGTCACTCCTGCAGCACATGGGAGCCCACGAGACACCAGGTGAGAGAATCACTTGGCTGGCACATGGATGAGTCTCCATTTAAGGCGCAGTACTTAACACACGAGCACATGGCAGGAACAGAAGGTGGTGTCTGGGTGCTGTCTGAAGGTTTTATTAGAAGCTTCTGTGCATCCGCGCCAAAACGTCCAAGAATATCCTGTTTGCTAACATGTTGGCTTGGATCTCCATATGTGCACCCTTTGACAAAGCATGTGCATCTGTTCTCCAGTTGTGAAACTTTTTTCTACTTTTATCATATGCTGTCAAGGTTTGTGCATAATGTCTACTTGAAAGATGAGTCCACATATACACACATATATATATATATATATATATATATATATATATATATATATGTGTGTGTAACAAGGCCTGATGATGAGGATAAAATCGCCCTAATGATATATCAGAATACTTTTCTTTAATGTCCTGATGCATGCTCATGCCTCTTATTTAATCTTTTTATAATTAGCATCAACATATGCTTGTCTTTTCCAGTTTAAATCATAGCCAAAAGCTTACAAGGTTAATAATCATGAACTCTTTGGGTCAATCAGGTCATGTCAAATTCAGTCATTCAGTTTGTAGTCATTGACAGGCTGGTGCCATCTAAACATTAATATATAAAAACAGATAAGCTTGGTAAATGTAAATGTATAACCACGTGGGTGGAGCATGAAAACATTAAAGGACATTTATTTTTAATTGTACTCATTACTTCTTTCACACACACACCATGAACAGAAGACCACAAGAGTGTGTGAGCTTCCAGTAGTGGATTTCTGAATGTATTTCCAGATTCAAGAGGTACATGTACAACAAAACTCAGAGGCGATGCATTTTCATCCAGAACATCACTCTGATGCAGATTCTACGATTCACAATCATGTTGCACTGGTTTACAAATATGTCGTGATGCAGCCCTTCTACGTATTCAGTGTTTTCCAGATTTTAGTCCAACTTAATTTATTTCTTGTAAGATCTTTATGTATGCACCTACCCATCCAGGCTGTCACAATGTAAAGTTTGCAGATGATACAGTGGTGGTGGGATGCATCACAAAAGCTACAGGCAGGAGGTGGAACACCTGAAGAGCTGGTGCAAGGAGAATAACCTTCACATCAATGTGAAGAAGATGAAGGAGATGGTTGTGGACTTCAGAAGGAACAAACACACCTACACCCTCCTGAACATAAGAGGATCTGCAGTGGAAGTGGTCTCCAGTTAAAAGTACTTGGGTGTACACATGAACAACAACCTCAGCTGGAGCAACAACACCACCAGCCTGATCAAGAAAGCTCATCAGAGACTCTACTTCCTCAGACGGCTGAGACGAGCTGGTCTGGGAAGTTCAGTCCTCACCTCCTTCTACAGGTGAGCAGTGGAGAGCATCCTGTGCTCCAGCATCAATGTGTGGCATGGAGGCTGCACAGCTGCAGAAAGAATAGCTTTGCAGAGAGTGGTGAAGGCTGCACAAAAGTCTGTTGGAGTCAGTCTCCCCACCATCACAGACATTTACACCTCCAGATGCAGGAAGAGGGCCACCTGCATCATGAAGGACCCCACTCACCCAGCACACACACTTTTTACCCTGCTCCCCTCATGCAGGAGGTTAAGGAGCATTAAGTGCAGAACCACTAGACTGAGGAACAACTTCTACCCTGAGGCTGTTAGACTCATGAATCTCTAACCAGAATAATCACTGTGAAAATAAATCACATCATGTTGCTGCTGATCTGTTTCATGTCGCTGCTGATCTGTTTCATGTTGCTGTGTTCATTCGTACTCATCTGCTCACACAGACTCATGTTCGTGCTGCTGTTCGGCATATTGTTTTTAAGCTACTAGTGCTTAGTGTATTTTTAGTTGATGTTTTTCCTAGTTCATGTCTTAGATCTTATTACTGTTTTTCTTTTACATTTTATTGTTGGATGTAAATGG